CGAATTTCAGTCTCTATATCACTTATTTCAACTGTTTGCATTTCTGCGGATAATACTCATCCACTACTGGTGAACCACACTCCTCAAACCCCTACGAGCTAGCTTTCGAATCACTGATTCCACCGTTCATAATATTGATAAAGATCAGCATACTTTCGCGGTCGATATGGAATGCATGCAAAATAACGCAATTTCCATGAAGTAAACAATGACTCATTTGTTATAACGCAACCAAGAGCAACCAGAATAGAATCAGATACATTTATCAACAATAACAAAACAATAAAACAACACCAGATATAACAAGCATAGCACTTCGTATGTAATATGTATCATCAAATGAGTGAAGTAGGACATAAATAGACAAGGTACACAATGAATAAATATACAATAAACACACCAAAACAACCATCAAACCATCATAAACATGTTTCCAGTATTAAATGTAAGTAATCATGCTGAAAATCGCACATTCGAAGATGCTTTAGTTCAGCAAGAATATGTAACAGAACATAACATTACAAAAACACTGAACAGGAACAAAGAAATTGATTTTATGAGACCATAAGACGTGGTGCAATCGACATCGACATCAGCTCTTGGAAAAGTAGTTTGCAGGCGTACGGGATCCGAATTGCCGAAACTTGCGTTTTATTGCGACATGCCTGAAATTTTCATCAGTCATATCTATTAGTACTTATCAATATGAGCATGTTCCACTTCGGCTCTATTCATAATAGACATCGCGATTTATAAGATCCGCAGTGAAATTCTACGTGAACTTATTATTCCANAAATATCTGATATCCTTCTTTCATACTACATCAAAATGATAGGTACGTGTTGTGTTATCTCAACACCATATTTCAATGTTTAAGGTACAAACCATCCATCACCTCTTCCTAATAGTAGTAGTGAAAAGCAGAAAAGTAACTTCACCATTTGCGTATATATTATTTACAAACATATGAGTGAAATAACAAAGTATAAACGAGAACAATAATAAAGTAACAATATTGTATTCACAATTCGACACTCACCTTACACTCGAACGTATTCGTACGCAGATTGGCAATAACAATGAGACCACAATTATTACAAACGTATACATGATACGGATCCGATACCTCGAAGAGACGTTCACGCAGAAACTGTGCAGCACCGTGTGAGATCTGACAATCACGTTCCATTTCGCCGAAACGCAAACCACCGTCTCTGAATAAAGCACATTCAATTACTGAGGCAAGAAATCTCATACATTATCATTCTCTCGCAAAAAAACCAAAAATACATCGTTAAAGACCAGAAACCTTCAATGAAACTCCTTTCCTCCCCATCTCAGCCAAAAAGGTCAAAAATTTTCACCAATCGGCCTTTCCCTTCCATCTTTTCAATAATTTAAAACAATTCATCTGGGAAAAAGATCATCATATTACCACTTCCTCAATAAAACCAAACAAATATTCATTCCGAGTTCAAAAAACGTCCACCAACTAACCTTGCCCTTCCCTCCATCGGTTGTCGATTCATCATCTGCACCGGTCCTCTGGCTCTCGAATGGATCTTATCATCCACCATATGCTTCAAACGTTGATAATATGTTGGTCCGAGGAATACCTTTAAAACACACTCATCATTACAACTTCAATAATCCTTTAAAGCTAACAATCCCACAGTTTCACTAAAAATTCGACATTCTACGATTGTCAAATGCCCCATTCCTACACATCCATAAAGTGAACTGCTCACGCTGACACCATAATCTTNTCGCATCAGATGTCACATCCACACCACTAATATCATATATTCATACACTAACCATTTCACCATTCCAAGATGAATAGAATGATATTCAAATGAAATGAAGCAAAGCAAACAGAAGAACGAAATGACGGCAATTAAAAGTAAAAACCTGAGTTGTTAGTTTATGTCCAGTGTGTCCATTGTACATGACTTCATTGCCACGCAAATGATAACCATATTCTGAGAGCAGATTGCTGATCTTCTGCACATTTACTGTGTCGTTGAACGGTGTCGCGTCACCGATTTCTCCTTTGTTTGCAGATAACTGAAACATATTTTTGAACATAACTATTAATTACTTCATAAATTACTTATACTATAAATTACATAAATTATCTCTATGAGCTCTTCCCAAAGAGAACAAATGAATCTTAACGAATGCAAATCAGTTACCTTTCCTTGCAGACATTCGATCAAGTGACCAATCGTCATACGCGACGGTACTGCATGCGGATTAATGATAATGTCTGGAGTAATGCCCTCATTCGTAAACGGCATATCTTCCTGCAACAAACAACACATAGCAATAACCACTTTCCTATGTCATTCATTTTAAATTGTACCGTAAAATTAACTCCGCTATCGCACTACACAGCGAAAAAGCTCACGAAATGCTAAATTTGTTAGCATCTCACCTGTCTGTACATAATACCCATCGTACCCTTTTGACCGTGTCTCGACGCAAACTTATCACCAATCTGCGGTAAACGCACTGAACGCACACGAATTTTCACGAATTTATTACCGTCTGTGTTCAGTGTTAACATAACCTGAAGAATATGCATGTGGATAACAGCTTGTACGAATATGATATTGAACAAAACATTTATATTATACAATAAACATTCCTTAAATTAAAAAATTATCACATTACACCTTCTATTAAACTTCGTAACAGTCAACTCATATTGAACTTCTTTCAACAGAGTTGAAACAAATAAACAAAAACCGGAAACAATTTCTTAATGAACACAAAAAACAAGAAAAAATAACGAATCGAACTCGCCTGATCAATAATACCCGTCTCACTACTTCTCAAGAATGTACTCGCATCACGTTTCGTATACTTTTTCGCATTTGCATCCAAGTCATCCTCCTGAAGTTTGAAACTAACTTCTCAATCCGATCAATAGATGGATTTTAAATATTTTCCGCAAAAAACTTGACATCCAACAGAAACTTCTACACGACAAATATCCTCCCCCGAACATTTCCCTCATCGATAATGCATTTACCAAGTACCTGCTCAGGAAGTGATATCGTTTTGCCAATAATGACATCGTCACCAGAAACTCGCATTCCTGGTGATATTATACCATCCTCGTCCAGTTTATCATACAACGAATGACGCATTCCCGAGCATTTATCCCTAGAAAATATTACTTCAAAATTCTAGGATTCGTTCGAAACTACAACAAATTATGACAAATATGATCAACTACAAACAGACTTCAACTCTTCAATGCGGTATTATGAACTAATGCTCACCTCGTAGGTTTCTCAATGAGTTCTTCATTTGAATTGTCCAGATTCGCTTCCTGATCGCGATACGAACGATAGAAGACCTGAGAAAATCAAATCAAAGCACTGATGAGAAATCAACCCAAAAGTTTTTGCATTTTCATTTCTTTCCAAATTAACCTAATCTGTCACTTGCTTCACTATTAAATGTCATCAAGTTTAACCTCGAACGTAAAACATTATCAATGTCAATCTCACAATCAATTATTTTCATATTTCAAATCAAATCTTCAAAAAACAAATGCAGCATTACTCACCGATCTGAAGAGACCTCTATCTATTCCAGACTGGTTCATGATCACCGAGTCCTCCTGGTTATAGCCTGTGTACGAAAGGATTGCTACAATTGCGTTAATACCAGCGGGTAGCTCGTTGAATCTGTAATAACACGTTACCATCTTAATCTAGAATACCACTGTAGATTGTCTAAAGCTGCAAAAAGTTGCGAAAAGCTAACCTCAGATATTCCATCGAACGGGTCGTAACCAACGGCTTCTGCGGATAATACAACACATGCGCTAGTGTGTCCATCCGAACATGGAAATTCGTCGTATAAACACCCATTGCTTGCTTACCCATAGCGCTCTACAAATTTTCATAATGCTTATTGGATGCCCTCAATAATTCCAGAAAACTCTAACAAATGATAACCAAAACAAAACCATTCGTACCAAAAAAAAACAACGATAAAAACCTGATATGTATTCCTGGGACTCTGATTATGATCCGGGAATGGGATAATCGATGCACAAACACCCAGAATCATCGCCGGATGGATCTCGCAATGCGTGTACGTATCACAATAACCACCTGCACG